GGTTTTTTTTTTTTTTTTTTTGAAAAAATTTTTTTCCAATTTTTTTTTTGGGTTTTGTTTTTTATTATTTTTTTTTTTATGTTTATTCATCTTTAGTTTTTCGAAAACTCAATTATAAGTCGTGTCCATGTTTGATGTGATAGAAACTTGAAATTGTTTGTATAATTCCATTGTGTTGTATATTTTGTAAATAAAATAATATTTCTTTGAGTTTTAACCTCAAAAATATTTGCATATATTGTTGTTGTCATATATTATTTCTTTGTTGCATTCAATGGATATCACACATTTGAGAATATCGTAAATGGTAATATTCTTCTTTCACGTGAAAAATCCAATTGGATTGTTGCAATGGCAAACATGTTATTCATGCAGTTGGAAGCTATCGGGTGATTTTTTATTTCTACTTTTTTGAAAATTTCTTGTTCCAATTTATTCATTGAGTTATTATTATTATTATTTTTTTTTTTATGTTTATTCATCTTTAGTTTTTCGAAAACTCAATTATAAGTCGTGTCCATGTTTGATGTGATAGAAACTTGAAGCACCAAGCAAGGTCAGGAGAAGACACTCGAATGTCAAAGAGTTAAGCCCACCGCCTTGTATTGCTTGAGTTCCGTTCAAGCATTCTTAATTTTTGACCCCACAATAGAAAATGTTTGGGTCCGCCCCTGTATATTACATATAAAGAGATAACGGATGGAAAAGTACACAGAAGTCCCATATACTTAATTCCAAAGCATATGTGCATGTGAAATTAAACCACAACATTCAATTGGACAGGTGGTAGTGTATGATCTGTAAGATATCATATTAAACGTGAGTCAAAAAATATGAAAACAGTGTCATAGATATATTTGAACTTCAAATCAGAGCATGTGGTTGTTTACATCCTTTACAATAAACTGCAATGTCCAAGAAACCAATCATCATGTAGAGATATCCAAAAAGAAAGTCGAATTGAGATGTAATTTGCAAATAAAGCTACATGCACTATTTCACTGACTACATTGATACCACTAGATCCAGCAATAGACCTCGCTAATAGGTATTCAGTAATAACTTGACAAGATGTTTTGGAAAAAAGAACTACACATGATTTTGATCCTTGATTTGCACTCCCTACGCACGCACGTAGAGAGAATTTCTATACTACACATGATTACACATTTTAAAGTGTAACCATGTATAAAATGATCATTGCTTTCATCCACTTCTTATGTGAGATAAACTTAAATATAGTTTTTCCTCCAACATAAACCTTCTTTCAATGGTCCACTTTAAACTCCAATTTCTCATTTACACGTTTATCATTTTTGAAAAGTAAACAGATGATTTCGATATTCTTATTGAGGAGAACATGGATCAACTTTGATCTTTCAAATTGGACCAACAGATCTCACCTAAAATTGTGCCAAAATTAAGTTTAACAAAGCCTTTTTCCAACATTTAGTACTGCGGAATGCAAGTCAACAAATATATCATTAGTGTATTTCTAAGGAACACACAGATACTTGGCAGATTCTTACTTGGTATGAAAATTGAGGTTTCGTATCCACTTTTATAAGGAGCAATGTAATGACTTGTAGATTTTTTTTTTTTTTAAAGTTATTCATGAAAATCAGGTCCAAAGTACCATGAGCTATAGCGGGATGTATCCATCTATTGATAGAAGGGAAGCCCCCTATGCATTTGTGAGTGTTTCAAGTTTAGGAATTGTTTGACAAAGTTTTTTTTATAGAAGCTTGATAAAAATTATGGATCCAATAAAATATGCTATTTAGATTGAAGTTTGAACAATTAAAAAAATTGATAAAATTTTATGAAACTTTTATCAAACATGCAATTGACTCAAGTATTATATGAATGTTAAGCAAAAAACAGAACCATGTACTTAAATTACCGTTATAGATCACATTCTATGTAAAAACCATCTTCCTAAAAATGTTCTACGTAAAATTGTCCTAGATAAAATTGACCGAACATTCATGAGATAAAATAACTAAAGAATCCAAGACAAGGTCAAGATTAATCATTTTCACAATGTCTTAAATAAAAAATAAAAGATATTTGTCGATTGGCAAAGAGCTCACCTACTAATTTTATCGCATTTATATTGTAATTAAAAAAAATCATGTTTACTCGAACTCACACAAGATCATTTTAATAGTCAAAAGTCTACTGCTTGTTAATCATAGCTTAAAAAAGGCTTGAAAATGAATAAATTATTCATCGACCTTCATTTATTGCAATATCACTTCCAAACGGCGAAAATCATCCTCGTCTTCTTCAAATCATAATGTAATCCTTGTAAAAGTATAGGTAACATTTCGAATTGAGTAACAATGACATGCAAGGACCTTTGAAGATTTAAGATAGTTGGATCAGTTTCTATAATTTGAAATTAATTGTGTGAATACCGTGGGAGGTTGGATATAAAATTGCTTCGTTTCAAAAATGGGGAGAACTTCTTAATGTTATGATAAATAGGAGTGCGTTTGATTGCCTATATTTTTCATTGGAAATGTGTTTTTACACTCAACTCTCTACTTTTGTACTGTTTAATTGACATTTTTCTATAGAATACATTTTCCGACTCTTACCATATTTTCCTCAAAATCAAGGAAAATAATTTCCTTAGGGGAAGTAAGATTATATTTTTTAAGAAATTCACTCTCTCATCTCCTCTACCTACCAATAAAAAATGGACAAGTATAATATTTTTCATGTTAAAAATTAAATCAATCAAACACATTTAATCGACATTTTTCATGCAAATAAATTCTAGACAATTGAATTATCTATAATTTATTTATTTTTTCATGCAAATTTCATATTTACAATTAAACCCACGCTAGGAGTTTCTTTTACAAAATTGTCCAAGCCTTTTTCATTCTCATCCTTTAGAATTAGTGAATGTAGGTTACGGAACACGATATCAGATCCCAATTTGGCTTTGCAGAAATTTGATAGAAGCAAACAGTAGGCGACTCCCTACCTCTTCAGAATTTTCTAGAGGAAAAGTACCACAAACAAACATTTCTTCACCATTATCATAATCATCGTATAACAAAAACTACAGTACAAAATTTGGGAAAAACCCTAGCTAAAATAACATAGGTATAATGGATGAACAGAGGTCGGGCTCTCGGGAGCTGCAGTGCGTGGGCAGGCTAGAAATCGCCAGGCCCAAGCCCGTGGGGTTTCTTTGCGGATCCATACCTGTACCCACCGACAAGGCATTTCATGATTTCAATTCTGTTGCCGCCCTTGTTCCGTCTTCTCATACGTACGTATATGGAATTACGTGTATATATTTGAGTTTTGATTATTTAAACAGTTTTGAGTACTGCATATGTTACTCGTTTCGTGTTGTTTCCGCTTTGAAAAAATTTAGAAAAATGTTATGTATTCGGTATAGCAATGTGCAAGCGAGCTAAAATTTAGTTGATGCTGACTTGTTCCGTTGAAAGTTTGGAAACTACAGTCCCAGGAATGTGCTTGTGTGTAAATTGGCAAGTTAGCTGTATGTGTTGGATTTGTTTAAATTATAAAGAGATAGGGATAAGGAGTTTCGACAGCTTAAAAGTAGTAAGTGAACAGATGCTCTTGCAATTCGAGAGCATTGCTTGCAGTTTCTGCTCACTTCTGCGAGCTGTGCAGCAAGGCAAAAGGCCTTGCTGTTTGTCTCTCACTTAAGAATTCAAATAATTATAATATCTGCAATGAAAAGTTGCATCATTTCATGGTGATTCACATCATTTGGTGGCCAAGTTTTCAATATTTATATATAGAGATGTTTTTATGTAGTATTAAACTAATACTCAATACATATATAACATGTACAACACATTCACATATGCATTTATCCTCCTTAAAATCCGATTTTCAGAATTTATATGGTGTTCTATCTCTTTTTTCTAGTTAAAGTCTCCATATCCCCTCTTTCCTACCTGAATGTGGATTTTGTCTATATTAGTTTTCAGAGATAGTACCTATAAATTGGATGTTTAATTACTTGCTGGTGCAATTGTTTAATGTCTTATTCGTTTTGTTTATGAATTTTATGCCTTTTATATTGTCTATAAGTTTCTCCGTGCACGCATGCATAATTCATGCGTTATTATTTAGGGATTTGTGTGACTGAAAGCTTGTTTGTGAGCAAGTGCAGACCAGCTGTAAACTTTATTAGAATGTGATGCAGGAGAGAATGAAAACATGAATACCAAGAATAGATCAAAATCTTAAAACAACCCCAAAGCTATCAATTTATTTTTAATTAATTCAGAAATAACCAAGAAATGACGAGCCCCTAGCTATGAATTTATAGCACGTTGAATGACCAAAAACCTTAACTTGGACGTAAAATTATTGAAATAAAACTTATTAGACGATAATGAATCTAGCCTAGGACTGGCTCCCCTCTTCGCTTTCATCATTCTCTGTGAGTTGAAGAAGATTCGTCTTCAAATGGTGTATTTTCATGAATGATCTATTTTTTGGCGATTTGCTTGGCAAGATGACATTGACCATCATAAGGTGTAGTCCTCATTAATATTAAGCTCATCCTCGTGAGGACCTGATGTAGACCTATTATGCTGTAGCTAATACTTCTGTACTTGTTCTATATGAGATAAAATTCGCATTGCGGACACAATGAGAACCTACTACGAAACATGATCGCACTTCCTTGACATAAGTCAAAAGACTTTTTGGAAGTGTTTAGACCTCTCCTTTGGGAGAGCATGAATTTTTATTGGCATTCTATGAGTCTTGTCGATGATAATTTCTTTTCATCCTTATTCAAGGAATTTACAACTTTGAAATAACTTCCATGTCTTTAAATCTCATGATCAACCTTCTCAATTTGTGCCTTTGTAATTGAAACTTGCTCCGTCAATTTAACATTCTAATCATCTACTCATACCATGACAAAGGAAACAGCGCTTTCAAAGATTTTGCTTTCCTGGTAGGCTTGGAATTAAATCTTTTTTGTCACTCCTTTGATGATCACAGCATCGGGCTCCTCATTGAAGATTAAAGTGTTATAACAGTTATTATCAAAATCTAAATTTTTATAATTTTTTTGTAAAAAATTTGTGGTCCATTGTAATCCTTTATTGAATGCATTCCACCATATGGGGTTGAAAGCAGTGAAAGGGCCTAAATCAATGTTTGAGTAGCCACCAACCAGCGCCCCTAGCCACCTACTCCACCGCCGGAAATATCATGGTCCTTAGCGCTCACAACAACAATTCGGCCATCACCAACATTGGCGGTCGCACAATTGCGATGTGTTGTGTTGGCAATTCAATGTGCTAACCATGTATGTCATAACTTGTTGCTCGACCCCTTCGATTATACTTCCCTAGCCCAATGTTAATGCCTAGATGCCATGATCAAGGACATAGCCTTACTTTGATACCAACTATGCAACAGGGAAACATGAACGAAGGAACAAGCCTAAACATTTGTTGATTCTAAGAATTTTTGAATGTTTAATCAATAATTCGTTGACTTGTAAAAATGAATAGCGAACAATTGACAATAATTCAACCTCAAACCCATTTAAATGTATTAGAAAACGGTAAGGCTTGAGAATTGATTTGTATTCAAATCACAGGAGCTAACAATCGTTGATATGCTCATATTGGTGACATTATTTTTGAATTATTTATTTATTTATTATTATTATTTTTTTAAATTAATGAAGTATTGATACCAATGTTTGCAGGGAATGAGAGTGAAAATAAATGGATGCTGAATCAATCTCATTGATTTGGATAAGAATGGGGAGAATAAACCAAAATCTTGGAACAATTTCAAAACTTTAATTTTTATTAATTCATTAGCAAAGAAGAAAGTATGAGCCCTGGCTATGAATTTATAGGAACACAAAACCCTTATTGACCCTTCAATGCTAGGTAACCAAAAGATCCTAACATAAGACATAAAAATATTGATATTATAATAATTATAAGACAATAAATCTAGCTTAGGGCTGGCTCCTCATCATATTCCATCATTTCTGGTCTACATTTTAGTTATTTTTTTCTTGTTTTGATATAATTTAGTATGTGTTTTATGCAGTAGAAATTAATTTAGGGAGGGACTTTGGTTTCTTTGAGCACGCGTAAGTCATAAGTTATTTCTGTTTAATTTGGAAACAATATAGGGTGCAACCTCCAAGGTATCAGATGATTCCAACAGAAACAGATCTGAACACGCTACCCGTACTCTCGAGTATCCCAGAAAAGGTACTCCCGATTGCAAAAGCACAGAATGAAGGTACTTATTGTTTATCATTTGAGGCTCACTGTTTATAATTTTGTGCCTTTTGTCTTTCCTTCCAAATGAAAGGTTTTCAGGCGTATCAAATACTAAAAAGGTATTATGCTGGTGTAAAAATAATTGGCTCAAGTTCTATCGGGTTTCAAGAGGGTGGCTGATGTCATATGCTTACTAGTCTAAGTTCTTAGTTCTAGTCAATTTCCGAAGAAGTGGCTGATCTTTTTCTGATTTGGACCGGAAGGATGTTCACATTCCACCGGTCCAATTCTAACATGGATCATTTTCCAAGTGCAAAACTATGTATTTCAATGTCTTAGGCATCATGAGAGTAAGAAACATAGGAGGAGGAAGATTTAGAAATTTAGTATGAGATGGTGCATAAGGACATGAATGAAGGAAACGGCTTTAATTCTATTACATAGTTAATGATAAGGAATTACATTTTGAAATAGTACTATATAAAATTGGAGTATTTCCGAGGAAAATGAATAGGAAGTTAATTAGATATAATAAAACACAGATACTCTTGAGTTTCATACTCATTACTTATAATCCCTTGTTTGATTTTTTCACTTTTCCTCACACTTATTTTCAGCTACTCATAATCCCACTAAAATAATTTTGCATGTAGATTCATAACTTTTCCCTATTTTTTAACCACGCATTCTCCCAAAAAAACCATTCAAGTCAATAAAAAATTTGATAAACATATATCATCTTTCTCTTTGAATTTCTCTTTTTCTATTTTTTATTTCTGGCATTTTTGCCTTGACCATGTTTCCACTAGTCGTTTGAAATTTTTAGTTTCTAAGAATCAATTGGGAGATTTGCAAACTCATGATATTTTGTAATTGTAGTGTTTGAAAATTAGTTAAAATTTTCTGCTTTATCTTTTTCTCGAAGTATTTCTCATTATGTTGCACCATTTGATCATGTTCATTCTGATGTTTGGGGACCTGCTCCTATTACTACAAGAGGAAGTTCTAGCTATTATGTGTCTTTTACTGATGATTATAATCGTTATTGTTGAATTTATCATATGAAACAATGTTTTGACTTTCTTTTAGAACACTTATTAAAATTCAACGTTCTACTGTAATTAAGTGTTTTAGACGTGATTTGGGTGAAGAGTATATTTCTATTTATTTCTCTGAATTGCTTGCTCTTAATGGCATAATTCATCAAACCTCACGTACTAACATCCTACAGCAAAATGATGTTGCTGAACGAAAGCATAAGCACATTGTAGAAACTGCTCGCTCCCTTCTTTTGTATGCCAATGTTCCTAATGAATTTTGGGGAGAAATATTTTTCGTTGCTGTTTCTTTATTAATAAGATTTCACCTTCAACATACCTCTAGTATCACCCTTTGATACGATGTTTAGCCATCCTCTTGATTACTCCTCATTTAGAGTCTTTGGTTGTAATAACTTTTTTTCTTCGTCCTGAAGTCGAACGTTGTAAGCTGACATCTCACTTTGCTATTTGTGTTTTTTTAGATTATGGGTAAAGTTAAAAGGATTATCGTTGTTCTAATCCCATAATAAAAATGTATATGTTTTTTGGCATGTTGTGTTTCTTGAGCACATCTAGTCTTTTCTATTTCTCATAATACTCGTGATGTGACTAAATTGATTTCTTTCATATTGATCTATTCTCTGATGATATTAATACAGGACATCACCTTCAACAACTATATAAATGGTCGTAGAATGTAACTGTTAAAAATAAGTATAGACAACCAATTAATTTTGTTTCAACAATTGCTTGATTTGTCGTTGCATTAATTATTTTTATTGATAAAATATCACTGAAGTAACTAAAATTTAGTTATTTTTCTTTTCAACAATGAAAGAAGTGGTTGTAAAACATTTATATTAACAATCAAAATATTAAAATAATGAGAAATGTAATCTTCAACGGTAATATTCATGATTCTATAACTTTTACACATTCACATCATGCTACAAATAAACATTACCCACCACTATAAACAATTATGAGAAGTAAATGAAAGCAGTTATAAAAACATTAACAAGAACTAAAATTTTCTTGGGCATTCAATAAATTAAAATATCTCAACATCAACTATAACTAGATGTTAATTATATCAAATATCACGACTGAAACAAAAAATACACCTAGTTCTACCAATAATGTTCTCAACATAAAAAACAACTAGACGTAGAGTTAAAAGACTATTGCCTCGATCAAATAAAAATATTTAACTATTACTACATCATCAGAAATAAAGTAAAAAACATATTAATTATCGACATTTAAACCATTGGTTGAAGAAACTCTTCATGAATGCAATTTAAGAATGTATGCACAGATTTTAATTGAGAACGAAGATCTCGAACCTCATTTAGACAATCCAAAAGTGGATCTTAGAAGCATCGCCAATCTCGTTCCATTGTTGTACTGCTAGAGGTACCATCAAACGAACAATAAATCCAATTTTATTAGCCAAAGCACATGCATTCCCTCCAATAGCTTCTCCATTTTTGTTAAATTCTACTTACAATCGGAAGAACCAGACCATCAAGTATGTTGTCTTCTGAAATTTTAAAGGAGCAAAGAGTTCCTGTACATTGTTTTTCAATAGTTTGAGTATGAAAACTATCTTTTGACTGATTAAACGTGGTGAATAGGTGGTACGTGCACTTGCTCACGAACAATTTGCGAGGCTTCTCTTGACTTACAATGAAGAACTGGAGTTGACATCTGAAGCACTTCCACTAGAGTCTGAAGTCATCATCGCTGATGCTGAAGAAGAATCCTTTGAGTTTATGAATGGGTTATATGCATCGAATGCTCATGATATAGTTTATCCCCCGTTCGCTGCAGTAGAACCTAACAGTCAGGAAAATTTTGATCTTGAAAATTCCACAGAGATGACATCTGGTGATAGCATATCTGTATCATCGGGTATTGCAATTGTTGCAGACGAGGATAATGTGCCAAGTTCTAGTGATGAGGATTTTATGGTCTGTAATGTGTCAAAAACTTCTGATCATGAAATCCAGACTGTTGCCGATCCAATATCGTCTAAGCTTGCTGCAATTCATCACGTCTCTCAAGCCATCAAGTCTCTTAGATGGACGCGCCGATGGCAAAGCACCAAACCAGAGCTGAACCATAAAAATGAAATTGAGGACGAACCACCTTCATCAATGGATTTCTCTGTTTGTGCCTGTGGCGACACTGACTGTATTGAAGTTTGTGATATCCGAGATTGGCTCCCAACATCCAAATTAGATGACAAATTGTGGAAACTTGTTTTATTGCTTGGGGAGTCTTATTTGGCTCTTGGTGAAGCTTATAAGGATGACGGCCAACTCTATCAAGCCTTGAAGGTTGTAGAACTGGCATGTTTGGTTTATGGATCAATGCCTCATGACACCAGATTTATTTCTTCAATGGTTTGTAGCTCGTTATCCCATGCGGAAGTTAACATCAGAAGTGAAAACATGAAGTCTTTCGCAGGTGATGATCATCTTGCTTTCGGTCAGCTGTCTTCGAATTACCTCTTTTGGGCCAAGGCTTGGACACTAGTTGGGGACATATTTGTTGACTTTTATCTGGTAAAGGGTGAAGACGCCTCAAGGCAAGCAGAAAGGAAAGACAACGCCAAAGACTTGAGAATGTCATCTGAGGTCTTGAAGGAAGTTGAGAGACTCAAGAAGAAGCTGGGGCAATTTAACCAGAATTGCAGCTTATGTTCTTTAGTAAATTGTAGCTGCCAGAGTGACAGGGCCAGTAGTGGAAGCAGTGCAAGTAGCAGTACTCAAGAAACTCGTTCATCTGGTTATGGCAGAAAGCAATTTAAAAAATCATATATCACAAACAGCAATTATTCACGTCCTGTGGATTATGAAAATGTCACAGTTGCTGAGAATGGGGACATTAGAAACACTAAGGAAAGTAAACATCTTAAGCATAACAAGACTGATAAAATCAATGAAAGTTCCAATAGGATAGCAGATGCTATGCAGGATGTGAACTTGGCAGCTGAGGTAGATGTTATGGGGTCTAGGGTAGATACTCCATCTGAACCTTCTTCCAAAGGTAAAACTGCTGTGAAAAATGGTGGTATATTTAAGTACTTGAGGTGTTCTATAGCTGGAGATGCTGATTATACTCTCTCTGTTGCCCTGAGTTGTTATGAAGAAGCTCGAAAATCCATGAGTGAACTTCCTGCTAGTTCAGCAGAATTAAAATCTGTAGTCAAGAAGAAAGGATGGGTGTGCAACGAACTAGGACGATATAGGGTGGAAAGGAAAGATTTGGGCAAAGCTGAAATTGCATTTGCTGAGGCTATTAGTTCTTTTATAGTAGTCGAGGATCATACTAATATCATTTTGATTAACTGTAATTTGGGCCATGGACGAAGAGCATTAGCTGAAGAGATGGTATTAAAGATTGAAAGTCTCAAGGAACACGCTGTCTTCCACAGTGCATATCTGCAGGCAGTTGAAACTGCCAAAATGCAATACAGTGAATCACTCAGGTATTACGGGGCAGCAAAGACAGAACTAAATTCTTTAGCTGAAAATGAAGGTTCTGTCTCAAGCAGTTTGAAGAACGAAGTAAATACACAGTTTGCTCATACATATCTACGACTGGGCATGCTGTTGGCAAGAGAAGATACTGTTGCAGAGATTTATGAGAATGGGGTCCTCGAAGATTACTCTGTTTCTAGTCTCACTAGAACTCAGAGAGAACATAGAAAGCATGAGATATCGGCAAATGATGCCATCCGGGCGGCTGTGTCCATATATGAGTCACTCGGTGAGTTGCGTAGACAGGAGGCTGCATATGCTTATTTTCAACTGGCATGCTACCAACGAAATTGCTGCTTGAAGTTTCTAGAGCCGAATAGAAAGAAAAACAATCTAGCAAAAGGTGAAAACAGTGTGGTTCAACGGGTAAAGCAGTATGCCTCCTTGGCAGAAAGGAACTGGCAAAAGTCCTTGGATTTCTACACTGCAAGTACACATCCCCTAATGCACCTCACTATTCTGATCGAGAGATCTGCTTTGTTATTTAGCCTCTCAAGTTACCTTCACTCAAATGTGGTATGTATTGGGTTTTTTCCTCTTTATATAGTGTTTCGGTTTTTAACATCTGTTCATCTTGTTTTCATGACAATTCTAGATATAATATAAATGATAATTTTGTATCAGAATATTGTCATTTCACATTATGGTCAGAACCAAACTATTATGTTCAGTGAACTATCTTTGTGATTTTATGATGAGTTTATGCAATGTTACGTGCTGTTGATTATGGTGTTGCATAGAGTACTAAAATAACTTGTTTTCGGTGCATTCTTGTGATAATTTTCGACTCGAGAGGGATCTTAAAGATATTTACTTATGAAGTTTATACAACAAAATCTTCTCCTCTAGATGTTACCTGTTCTCTCAGAGTTTATGCAGAGCTTGTTGGCTAAGCTTAAGAAAAGTAAGAGTTACTTTTAGGTATCTTTTATTTCTCAAACACGTTAATCATGTTTCTATTTTCTGACGTAGAAAAAGTAGATTATTTTGGAAGTAACTTATTACATGTTTGGGAAGTTTGTATAAATGAACTATAAATGGATTGAAATATGAGGTGGGTAAGTTAATACTACTTGTGAATCCCTCGAATGTGTGGATAGAAAGTTGCTTAAGTTTTTATAAATTGTTTATAAACATGAGCCAATCATAGGCTTATTGTCAAATTAACTTGTTTTCAAACAAACTTATTAGTAAACTACTGACATGTTGCTTGTGTACCAGTTCCTTGAATCAGCTCTATCTCTCCTGCTTGAGGGACGCAATATATCTGAAAACAAGTCACTGAGCAATGATAATCCCGAGATTTGTGCTAAATTTTGGAGTCAGCTACAGATGCTCCTGAAGAGTATGTTGGCCACGACACGGTCAACAAAAACAAACAAATCTTCTGTCAGTCCTCAGCAAACTCCATTGAATAAGTCGGTTGATGCTAACAAACTGAGGGAGCTTTACAAGATTTCTTTGAAGTCCACTAATTTTAGTCAGTTACACGATATGCACAGATTGTGGGCATCATAACTCCAACTCTTAAAGTTCCAGGTACTGGTAATATGACCCTCTGGCATTATGTATGATAATCAAATTAAAATCCATATTGATTTTTTTTCTTGGTTATGTTGCTTTCTTGCTACTATAATCAAAGCGATATTCACTATGTTAGAAACTACTTTTGGACGGAATGGTTATAGGATTTTGAAAATTTCATTGCAGGACATTGGGATGTGTACTGTTTTATTAATCATGTTTGAATACGTTTGCTAAATTGACAAAAGTGTAACAGTGAGTTACAAGAACTCGGGCTAAAATGTTGAAAACTGACAACTAGATTTGCTTATAATTGATTTTTAGTATCACACACAGAAATCTCTTATTACATATTATTGTCGAATAACAAAGATGAACAATTGCGAATATGGAATGAAAAAATTCACTATTCCAAAAAAATGAAGTGATTGAATACGGTAGATAATTTTTTTTTTATGAGGTTTTAGATGAACTGGAAGGCCATACACTGGCGTAGAGGAAGCATGATATACTATCTTCTCATTTCGAATTGCCTTTATTAGTTTGAACCTTCTCGCTATATTATGCATGAAAACCAGTACATCTAGCCGAGCATATTTTTCCAGGGGCATAATCGAGGTCCTCCCCCTAAGGGCACAAACGTCTAAGGTGCCAGTAAACTCCCCTCAAATTTAGTAATTAGTAGGATCAACTGTTCAGGGTCTTGGAAGAACGCTGGATTCTTGTGAGTTGAATGTACAGTCCAAAATGTTTACAATAAGATGACCAGTAAGACAATTGTGATAATCTTCTCGAGTGACTGAACTAGATGTAGCATGCCTTCCATCCTTGAGGAATGGTAAAACCAGAACTGAAGTCAGTCGTGGTTTCTTTGAACGCTCCTTGAGCAGGGGTTGGTAATCTGATTGATTCACTGCCGTGTAACCACGTTCCAAGATAATCTTTTCGATGTCCTCCCTAGTCAGTAACTCATCTGGACATTTTGATCTTGCAATCTACCGTTCCATTATATTTTATGTTCATATTTTAGATTTTCATTCTCCTAAAATTGCTTACAGGTCATCTCTGCATTATATACAGGTAAAAAGTTAGATGATTGACCTTTGAGAGCCTCACTGTATATATGGGGAAGTTCTGCGAGATGGTATTGATTCTGTCATACAGTTGGCTGGCTATAATACAAAATATAGTATATACAATATGTCTGACATTCTAAGCTTTTTAGGGATTTTGATACATATACACCGGGTTGACCGACCCAACACAACAGCGGGCTTGCGACGAATAAAAAAATCGTGGGCCCCCTGTTGCGAGGGGGTCGGTACACCGGTGTACGAGTAGCAAGATCCGCTTTTTAGATGAAACGATTTGACATAAATTCAGAACATGTCGTAGGTTCAAGTCTTGTTATTACCCATCGGTGAAAACAACATTTCTTGGCATATTTTATTCTTTATCTCGATAATTTGTTATGTTTTTAAATGAAGTAAATAATGCGATTTTGAGGATAAGGGTAATAGTTTTAAATTTGCAGATAAGGTGCTTAGACGTAAATATGAAACAATTTTTAATTTGTTTATATTATGGTGGGAAATTATACCATTGGTCCTGAATTTATTACTTTTGTTAGCTTGTTGCTTTTCAACTTACAAAGAATTCAGTCTGTTCCTACCAATATAAGGTCCATTCATGTTGGAAAATAGGGATAATAGGTCGTCCATGTGGGGTGACCCGACCTACAGGATTTTATAAGGGTTGGAGGGAGTGAATTCGAACTCAGAACTTCCAAGTAACTACTTGAAACTTTCATATAGAAGTTACGGAAAAGAGGGGGGAAATGCAAGACATGAAAAAAATGGCGAAAAAATTAGTATAAAAATTCACCTCAAAATTGGAAAGTCCCTATAATCACATTTTTGATATGAAATTTCACAAGAAATAGCACTTAGATTGTGGACAATAATCCCCTTTCATTGTGATTGGGATTTGGATCATTGGAATACAAGAAAAAACAAATTTGGGAGATTTGAAAGCAAGGTGATTCAGCCATATAAAAATCTTGAAATTCATCATTTCAAGAAAGTTTGTTGATCCGAAATTTATGTCAAAGCATGCTACGATTTTCCTACATTGGTATTAGAGCAATAAGGTTGAATTCCTTGCTGTAATTTATGCTTAATTATGCCATTACACGATAGAATTGGGTTATGAATCTTGTATGCAAAGTTTTGAAACTTTATATGGTATTTAGTGGCATCATTTGATAATTTACTGCTATTTGTTCGTTCATCTTCATGCAGTAAGATTAGTATGGTTAGAAAGGTGTTCTCATAAGCTTTCCAACCATATAAAGAACTCAAATTTTGGA